GAAAAGAAATAAGTTTTGTTTTTTTTGTTTAGTTAAATCAATAAGTTTATCAAGTTCTTTTTTCAAATAATTTTTATAAAAATAAAATTTTACTATTTGTATTTTTTTAATATATTATAATATTTGTAAAGTTGTAATACCTATTTTAGATATTTATAAGTCTTCAAATTGTTATAAAAATTCTGTATATTTCATATTTTTTATTAATTCAAATTTTTAAAAATAATAAAAACAAATCTCAAATCATAGTTTTTAAAAATAATGAGAACAAATCTCAAATTAAAGTTTCTAAAGATAATAAAAACCTATCTCATAGTTACTATTAAAATATTAATATTTAGAATTTGCTCTTATATAGCTTTTAGTTTATAGTATCTAAAAAGACTTAACTAAAAGGATTGAGTAAAGCTTAGTGAAAAAGGAAGTAGATAATTAATAATATATGAAGATACTAATAATTATATATTTACTAATTTATAATATATAAAGATACTTTAAAACAATTAAGAACAATTATTAATATAGAAGAATATTAATATTATATTTATTTATTAGAGAACAGAAAGGAACTTATTTACTTTTTACAAGAAAGAAAAGTAGCCTTTTTATACAAATTTTTATAGTATAAGAATTTTATAGAAAATAATAATAAAATACTATTATACAATTAATACATACTAAATATAATTATATTAATAGTGCTAATATATATAAAATAACTAAAAGATATAAAAAATATATTATATTTACTATATATTAAAGATATAATAGTTATAAAAGAAATAATAGTTATTTTAAATCTTAAAAATTTAATAAGTTGTTTAAAAATTCAAGATTTAGTAGATTTGCAATATTTTGGATGCAGAAATGAAATAGATTATTATATAATCATATGCTTCTTATAGATTATATAATTTAGAACTTTTATATATTACTATCTAGTAATTAGATTTGAATGATTTTTAACTTATTGAATTTATCTCAGTAAGAGAATTCTAATAGTATATATTTTATAAAAATTAGACTAGTAGATAAAAAGTTATTTCTAATAGAAGTTATTTTACTTATAATAATATAATGATAAATTTGATCAAATATTATATTGCTTTTTTTTGTATAAATAATTTGGTCCTTTACTTAATATTTTTATATTTTTTTTTACAAATTCAGATCAAGTCTTCATATATCAGTAAATTAGAACTAGTATTATATTAATTTTTCTTTTTTTTTGTATAAATAATTTGATTCTTTGCTCAATATTAATTCTGTTACTTTTTTTTTTTTTTTTTTATAAATTCAGATTAATTTTTTACTTAATAATAAATTTAATTAAATTCTATATTACTTTTTTTTCTTTGAATAGATAATTTGTTTTTTTTACTCAAACTAATCTTTAATCCAAATTGACATTTCTTGTATAATAATAGTTTATCTATTAGACAAATTTGTTAGTGAACTATATTATCAGTAAAATGTTCTAGTAGTTAATTATATTATTAGTAAATTATATTATTAGTAAATTATATTATCAGTGAATTATATTGTCAGTGAATTATATTATTAGTGAATTATACTGTTGATAAAATAAATTTGTCAATAAATTGATCTTGTCAGTAAAAGGTATTTCAATAAATTTATTATTAGTTAAATAAGCTTGTTAGTAAAATAAACTTATCTATAAACTAAATATCTGTGAACTTCATATCTGTAAAACAACCTTGTTTGTAAAAACAATATCTACAAAGTAGCATATCTGTGAGTTGAATGTCTGTGAAATAAGTGCTACTCAAAGGGTAATAAGGTTATTAAAGAGACATCTACATGATATTCAAATAAGTAGTCAAAGAATTATGTATCTACTTTTGGGTTATAATTATATTTAGTAGTAAATAAAAGGCTTATTATCAACAGAATTTAGCAAGGTTACAATGTTTGAAGAAATTGTAAATTAAGCTGTTTTATCTAAAGATGTTAATTGGTCTTTTGGAACAAATCCTAACTGGTTCTTACAAGAACCTGCAGGATTGATAAGGACTCAGTCCTTAAATCATATGAAAACACAATACATTTTATAGGACTTGGATCTGAATTGAATTATTATAACAATACAAAATTAATTTGATTGGATGGACTTATTCGATAGATTCAATTTAGTCCTATAAAATGTATTGTATTTTCATGTGATTTAAAGGATCGAGTCCAGGACTGTCTTTTTAGATCCTAGGATCGGACCGGACTGGATTCGCAATTCAACATCCTTAGTTTTATCAACCCGGGTTATGTTTACTGGGCATTTTTTTAGGGGCCTATCAGGAACGGTATGGCCCTATCAAAACAGTATGCAGATCGAATTTTTTTTTTTTTTTTACTCTATTAGGAACAGTACCGACGATCTATCAGGAATAGTATTTTTGCGGACGAATTGGTACTGAGTCATATTTTTTAAATTTGGAAGGCTTGTGTAACAATGAAAGTCTACAATGCTGGACGAATTACAAATAACTATATACTGAAATAATAAAAAGACTTTAATAATACGTATAAATAAATAAATAAATAAAAAGAAATAAAATAAGAAAAACCTATAACTTGGAACGGGACACCAATTTACATTCCAACAGTAGTGATTGTTTAGTTATTTAAGGTTTGTATACATAAATAATATTTATATTATTAATCGGATATCAAATTCCGAATACGTAGTGATCTAAAAATATAAAACATTAATATTAGTTAATACAATGTGATGATCTACGGGATGTGATTATTAAAAAATCCAAATAAATAGTACTCTTAATTTATTATATTGTTAAACACCTAAACTAGCAATAGTTCAATTTAATAGCTAAGTCAATCCTTTTAAGATATTATAGTGGTGATAAGATTTATTAAAGCTAAAGACTTTAAAGGAATTTTAGAGTATAAAAGAGCTAAAGCTCATATAGGATTTTTAGGAGTTAATGAAAACCTATTGTTCTAAAAAGTATATAATTAGAGTAATTCTGCTCTTCAATAAAGATGAGAATATTTTCTAACTCATTCCCACCGAAAAACATTTTTACTAAATCACTTATCTGATCTCTTCCAATAGAAAGAGATATCGTTTTGAACTACTATTATGTTATCTAAATTACCCTTCTTAGAAGAGTAATAATAGTCAGTTTCAACAAGTCACATGACAAGTTCAGATCAATAATCAAAGCCTTGAAATTATTTTTGCCAAATCACTACACTCTTTCAAAGGGTTGCTGAGTTACATTAAGATCACCCGAATCATGCTGTTGGTTGGCAAGTTCCACTGGTAACACTAGGTTAAATATTTAATGTCTATGCTGATTCTTGACTATTATAGGGATCCCAGGGATACGGTATATATCTTATAGAAACGATAAGTCTTTTGAGTATTATAAGAAATATATGTATTAAAAGTATTTAGAGGGATGAGACCTATATCTCTTTAAAGAGTTATAAGAGTTAAAATAGATATAAGAATCCTATTGTTGTATTATCTATATAAGCAGAGCAATTCTGCAACTCATTCTTCCTGACCCATATATTCTGAAAAATATATTCGCTATACTTGTGACTCAAAACCCGAAACCTTTCCGAAACTTTAAATTAAAATGCTACAGCTGTTATCATTCTAACTGGGACACCTGATAAATTTTGCTCGCTACCGAATCATTCTCAGTTTAATCTGGTAAATTTCCAAAACTATGTCGTTGTCTTCAGACTGAGGACCCGAAGACAGTGATATAGAAACTGAGAATGATTCGGTAGCGAGCAAAAATTATCAGGTGTCCCAGTTAGAATGATAACAGCTGATATTTCAATTCGGTTGACAGATAAACCGGGTTTCAAAATTTGAAGAGAAACGGTTATTTAATTTTGACCAATCAGAATTATCACCGATTTAAGCTCAATTATCCGGATATCCGTTAAATTTTACGGATAACGGATAGCATCTCTAAGCTCAATTCTATTACCCATTTACATTAGTTACGAATAATAAAGCGGCCTATACATTTGTTTTATATAATTAGCGAACTTTAAACATACAATACTGTGAATTTACCTAGTACATGTATATAGTAAAGTAAATAATTTTGATTTATAAAAAATGCTTTATTTAGAAAAATAGAAAACAAAATCTTTTTAATATATAAAACATGTTTAAATTGAAAATAATTTGCATTTTATTTTTATTTTTTTGATCAGGACGGTTTCGCATCCAAAACTTGACTTACTGGCAGTGTAGCACAACTGGATGTGAAATTTAATACCGTTATTTTGCAAACATTATTCAGCTTTTTAACAAGTAAAACTTGTTTAATCAAAAATTCGTTACTCAAAATTTTCCTGAAACCTGTATATGTATTTGAATTTAAATTGTATATAGGAATTTTGTCTATTGTCCAATAAGCGCGATTTAACCGGTTATACTCATTTTCAGCTAAGATTTAGCTCGTTTTAGATTAGCTTTATGGTTATTTAGATTAAAGTTAGGGATAGCTGAAAGGAAATCACACATAACCCAATTTATGATAATGTCCAATCGCGTCTATTTGCAAATGTTTTAATTCTATATATGGAAAGTTTATGGTCTAATGATTTACAAAACACTATTTACTTAATTTACATTGTGTTCAATTTTAATTTAGTGTTCAAATAAAAAATCCGTTTGCGTACGTATTATGCGAACACAAATAAATAATTAGTGTTTCAAGTTTACGTAAACAAAAATAGTTTTTTTCAATGAACTAAATAAAATTCCTTATTGGTAAATGATATTACCGATTTTTATATATTACAAGATTGCATTCTTATCTATAATATTTATGTTTTCCCCGATTTTTTATTCTATTGCACCAAAGCAATAGAGTTTTCATATTATACAAGTAAATTATACTTTCTTTAAAATCAAAACTTATTTATCGATGTTTTTTCATGGTAAAATCTGCAAATTATTCACCAAGCAAAAGTATAAAATAATGTAAGTAATGCTTCATGGTATTGTTGCGGACTAAATTATTTACTAGAATTTGAAACATTTCGTATGAGTTAAAAAAGTAAAGTGTTTAGTCTAAATTAGTGATGCTTGACGAATCTGATTTTATTAGTAGATGAAACAAATTTAATGAAATTACGAAATTATTTTGATCTATAATTATTAATGATCAAATTAATTTTAATTTAAATATTATTCTAAGAAATATGCTGTCTAAGTTTATAGAAAAATTTCTTGGTGTTTATATGAAATTTTTTGCACAATCGAAAATGACGAAACCATTTATCAATTCAAAAATAATTTTGTAGTATAAACTATAATAACGTTATATTTGTTAATTGAAATCAGAAAAGTTTCACTTAAATAAAATATGTCTTGCCAGGGCATAAGTTTCGGTTTAATCAGCAACATTAGTTAGTAACATTAGTCCATAACATTGAATAATAAAAATTATATGATAACTAATGATTATTTAATTTTTTTTTCAATTATAGCTGCTATTCAAAATCAGCGTTAAGCGAAAATAGTGATGGCATTGAAAAAACTTTGGAAAAGTTATGTACTTTTTATAATCAAGAAAGATTAAAAGGAACAAGTGATATCAAGATACTTAATCAAATTGAACAACTTGTTATAACTGAGCAGAAAAAACCAGAAGACATCATTAATTGGTTCTTGAATAATCAACATTATTATTATGTAACCCAACATAATCATATTATTCAATGTATTCTTTCAGATTGTTATTTTAATGGAAAATGGGTTTCAGAAGACAAAGTAAAAGCTTTTGAATTAAATTATTTATACAAAAAAAAAGAAAAATTAATATAATACTAGTTCTAATTTACTGATATATGAAGACTTGATCTGA